GTAATTTCATTATTGAATAAGTCAGGTTCTGGGAGCTGTTAAGGATTTTATTTTTAGCTGACATTTAACTTTTATTTTTATTGGAAAATAAAATCAAGTTATCTGAATTTTGTAAATAATGTTAGTATTTTGAACTACAGCCAAAGATTTATTTTTAATATCAAGTCATCAGGTTAGATGGTGTACTTGAAGTAACTCTGGAAAAAATGCTGGATATGACAAGGTGGATGAAGACAATTTGTGAATGATTAACAGTGATTATCAATGGCTAGGCTTAGGGAAAATGAGAGACTATAGCTTCTGAAAGCAGGAAATATCGTGCTCACATGTTGGACGCTAATTTTTAGGTTTAGATGCAGCTTGAAGGACTGTTTTGAAAGAGTAATGACATAATTCCGAGGCACAATGTGGGTTATTTATAGAAGAGACTAGAAACAGGGCAAGATTAAATATGATCACAGTGGTGTAGGAGGAAGAAGGTGAAGCAAAGCAGAAGGTAGTGATGCAAGACTAGATGCAATAATGGAGTGTAGCTGGACAAGAAGGAAAAGTTAAAAAATTAGCAATGCTACATTGTTTTAACAGGTCATCATTCATTTATAATTATAAATGCTACAATGAAATGTGGAACACTTTTCCAGCAAGGCAAATTTAAAGTAAAATTTATGTACAAACTGTTATTCAAAAATCTTTATGTATGTAAGCCAAAATACACAATAAATATAAAAACAAGAGGGCTGGGGAGATGGCTCAGCGGTTAAGAACACTAACTGTTTTTGCAGAAGACCCAGGTTTGAATCCCAATACCCACATGACAGCTAACAACTGTCTGTAACTCCAGTTTCAAGGGATCTAATGCCCTCTTCTGTCCTTCACAGGCATTGCATGATACGGGTGCACTTACACACATGCAGGCAATACCTGAAGGCAATACATGCATACACAGAAAATGAAAATAATAAATAAAAGAATTTTAAAAAATATAAAAACAAGAAAATGTTGTATGTTATGGGTGATACTCCTAGGATTCCTTCACGATTATTTTCCGTTACTTGGTGGTGCACGCCTTTAATCCCAGCACTCGGGAAGCAGAGGCAGGTGGATCTCTGTGAGTTCTAGGCCAGCCTGGCCTACATAGTGAGTTCCGGGTCACCTGGGGATACAGGGAGACCCTGTCTCAAAAAGACCAAAAAAAAAAAAAAAAAAAAAAAAAAGTAACTATAGTTGGCAGTTATCCAAACTTCTGCTGAATTGAACCTACTTCAACTACTTTATTCACTTGAATTGTAAGATTAACAAAGTAAGCTAAATAAAATGGACAAATAAAGAAGATAAAGCACGTTAGTGAATTTTTAAAAACCTGAGTTCAAAGACCTTGCTTTGTATCTTTGGCAGTTCTAATAAATATTATTTTATGTGAAGCAACATTGAATTGTGCTGTTTGTTATTTGTGCTTCTCCTTGTCATCTTGGATGAGAAAATTAAGCCCCCAGGATCATGCACTTTCTACGTGTAAAATGGATATAAAGAATCGTGTATTTCAATGTTTTGGAAAAGATTAAATAAAATTATTTGTACAAAGAAGCTAAGATCAGAGTGCCTAGAAAATACTGGCTGCCCAACATAGCATTTCTGTTGCAGTGTTTAAAAAGAAAAGCCGACACGTATAAAGAAATGTTTCAGAACATGGCCTTTCAGATGCTCTATAGACCTTCACAACTTTAGATTTGTTCTGGGAATTTAGAATAAAAGGCTTCTCTTAGGCATATGATAGAGAAGGATGGTGCAGATTTTCAGCTAGGTTACTCGTGAATATTTATATGAACTCAGTGCCAGAGTTCATTGTTTAGTGCCTATTTGTGTGTGTATTTTATGTGTGTATGTTTTTTTTTTTGTGTGTGTGTATGCACATATTCATGTTATGTGGGTGCATGTATGTATGTCAGCACATATGCACGTGCATGAGTCTGCAGAGGCCAGAGGGCAAGCTTGAGCTTTGTCTTCAGAAACACTGTCCACTGACTCTCAAACAGGGTATCCTCTTAGCCTGGAGCTTTCCTGTTATACTAAGCTGTCTGACCAGGAACCTGCAGGGATCCTTCTGTCTATATTTCCCTGATGTTGGACTCACAAATCTTTATACCATGCCTGCATTTTTAGGTGTGCTCTAGGACTGAACTCAGGTCCTTATGCTTTTGAGGCAAACATTTCGTCAACTGAATTAATTCCTGAGCCCAAAATTTCTGTTTTTATGAGACGAGTTCATGTTTTGTGATTGTCTATCACGAAATATATTAATACATGGTGACTGTGGCAGATTGCTGCTCTGGAACAAATGGAAGAGTGCAAGAAATAGTCTATATTTTGAAAGTTAATTACTTCCTTGAATCCCTTGGATTCTTCAGTTATGATGTGGTAGGAATGCAGCCCTTTGTCATAGGTCATTAGTTCACGCTGATTGACTCTGAGGACCGCATTGACCTGTGGCACTTGCTCTTTAAGTAGCTTTCTCCTAAGTGTGACATGATACCATCTGTCTGTGTACACAGCCAGCCTCCTTCTGCTGTGGCATGCTGTTGGAAGCACAGTTAAGTTTCTTTACTTTCAAGACCATTAGCCTTGTCTTCCTTTCTTATGATAAGGAAGTGATGGCAGAGTGGAAAGAGTGCTTGTGTTTTATGTAGCTAGAAAGGAAGAGCGGCTCCTTCCTCTGCCTGTGACTGGCGTGTTGTGTGTCTCTGACACATTTCCCTCTTATACCAATGAAAATAAGAGAAGAAAAAAGGAAATACAAACCGAACTAAATCTCGGTAAACCCTCAAGAGAAGGGATGCTTGAGAGCAACGTGATTTTTAAGATCATGGTTTCAAATGTAGCCTCTAACAAATACAAAAGCCAAATAAATAGCTTAACAATGTTAGTGTGAGGTCTTCCAATAAATATTTTAGAAAATGCTCAATTATAATTTTCATCAAAAATTTCTCACACATCATAAACTTGTTTAATTATGTGAAGTAAATAAAAATAAAAATAAGACTATTCGATTAAAACTCATTTTGTTTGTATAGAGAGATAATCCAACGAAGCAAACCCAGAAGAAAGGATAAATAAATTGTATACTTCATATCTCAGTAAAGCAAACGTGGAAAGTCATTGCGGTCTAAGTTGTTAATAAGCACTGAAAAATTCCATTTGTTCAACATTTGGTTCCATGAACCTAAGTAAAAATCCCTACTATGGTAATATTTGGTGCTGGAATAAAATTCCCACTGGGCATTATGCACGGTATGCTAGCCGGCTCCTGCTGTGACAGTGACGCATGAAAATGTGCACCTCAATGTTAACTGCATCAAGGGTTTATGCATCTCAGTCACGTGTCCATAAATTGGCTAGGCAAAGCAGCTTTAGCTCAGGCTTTGGGTTAGGCTCATGTTTTATTTTGCATTCTCCAGGAACACCAACCACTTGAGGACGAAACCTGGACACAAGCCAAATCTGGCAAGCAAATTTTCAAACTCTTCTCAGTCCAGATCCACTCACCTTCCATTAACCACTCAAATCATGCATGGAGATAAAGAGTCGAGGAATGTCCTGTTCTTGAGGAGCACTGGAGCTTTGAGAACAGTCAGGGTGAGGAGGGCATGAGAAATCATAAGCAGATAATGTGAAACCTGTCATTTTTCTTTACATTTTACTTGGATGTTCTAGATGACCTGAGACAAGGAAATACGAAGTTTTAATAAAATTATGTCATGAAATGTGAGAATGTTTGTCTTGTATATTTATACAGATCCACATATAAGTACTAATACATATATGAAATGTTTTAAAAATTCAAAAGTTAATGCACAAAAGATTTGCCAATCTTCTCAGCATATTAACTATATTATAATCATATAATTCAAATTGCTCAAGTCAGCAGAATTACTAGTCTGTAGTCACTAAACCTGGACAAGAAGACCCTGCCATTGTGAAGGTTGCTGTGCTTGCTTTCTTCATATAAGTAGAAGGCATGGGGATGGCACACAGCATATGCACCTTCTAACTATGTAAATGCATAATCTGTAAGGGAGGCTGACAATGTTGTCTAGCTGTGCACCCAGGGAAAAGAGAAGAGCAAGTTTAGTGAACAGGTTATAAGTGTACAAAAATTACTAATAGAGAATAAATATGAGCTTCCTGAATATTTTTGGCTCTTCTAGTTGTGAATATGGCATAATAACTTTTGGGCATGCGTGGCTTTTTGTTTGAATATGTACAGTATTTATTAAATACTGGAAATATATAATTATATTAAAGAAAAAGAAACCAATCAATTAATTTTTGACAGCAAGCATCTAACATATGAGAGAGTGAAATGAAAAAGTAGTGAGTGCAGGTTCAGCAAGAAGTCTTTCCCTTTTAAAAGCATATTGTTTTGTATACACATGATAACTGCTTGTTGAATGGATTAGATTTCCGTAATAGGAACAGAGCAGAATAGATGACCCATCATATTTTTAAATATAAAACAGAAAGTTTGACCTCTTATTTCAAGCCACAGACTGCTATCACTGAAAGTAATTTTGCATTGTGTGTGTGACTGTGTATGTGCTTATGTGTCTATGTTTCCTTATGTGTGTGTAGGTGCAAGTGTACATGTGTGCTCTTATATATAGATGTCAGAGGTCTACATTGTGTTGGTTAATCAATCCCTACTTTATTTTTTAAAGCAAGATCTGTCACTGAACCTCTACTGCCTCAGTGCTGGTATTATAGGTGCATATAGTAACATCCAATTTTTATGTGGGTACTGGGAATATTGACTAGGTCTTTATATTATGTAGAAGGCACTTTTCCAAATGACCCATTTCTCCAGCTTCTGAAAATACTTTTCACTTTAAAAGAAAGAAATCATTAGACTTCTTTTTCTTTCTTTTCTTTTTTAACTTTGTTATTTGTCAAAGTCGATGGAACTTATTTCAGGAAACCACAAAACATTAAAAAATTATGTATATCTTGTGCTCGCTTTGGCAGTACACATACTAAAATCGAAATGATACAGGGAAGATCAGCATGGCCTCTGTGCAAGGATGACACGCAGATTTGTGAAGAGCTCCATATTTTTAGATTACATGAAATGACTCAAAGGCAAACCTGAAGAACAGAAACCAGAAATTGTAAAGTCCTTTATGACTTGCAAATTTCAACAACTACCAGATTTTTATTGGTGAAAACGTGAATCCTGATGGTATGGTTGCTCTCCTGAACTACCATGAGATGGTGTGACTCCATAAATGATTTTCTTTAAGGATGGTTTAGAAATGGAAAAATGTTAACAAACTGAACATATTGGATCTATCACCTGTCACCACAATTGGCTGCTGCTTGTCATCCACACAACACCAGAACGTAAGACAAATGGGACTGATATCATCTTGAGAACCCTTATTTTGGCTGTGATTTATTTGGAGTAGAGATACTGTTGTTTTAAGAAAAACATGTCTTGTAGGTTACCTAAAAATAAAATGCATTTAAACTAAAAAAATTGCATACATCTCAATTATCACTAGTAATCTGACCTTTATTTTTCACAAATCTGTGAAGCTTATATTCTCTTTTTTTGTGTAGGTTTGAACTCTGATGCAATACAGTATGTAGTAATGATAAGTTTTGAATACCAGTCTACTTTCAAACAAATTGAAGTACTTTTTATGTCTCAAACATACTTCAAAATTTTTGTCCAGATTTTAACTGACATAAACAAAATGGAATGTTTTCTAGAGATGTGTGACTATATACACTTCTATTTGTTGTGAAGGAGCAATTTCAAATAAAGGGTAGTCATCTTCTCTATCATGGAGTTGCTTTAATTTCACCGTGAAATAACAAGGTTTATAGTTACTTTTCCAAATGTAGCCATTCTAAAATATTCAGTGTTAGCTGTGCGCTTTCTCCTCTATTTAAAACGCTGCTGTGTTTTCCTTCAGAAATGGAAGAGCCAAACAAAGATTCAGAAAAGAGCAAAATGAGTCATGTTTTACACAGAAAGATTGCAACATTATTTTAAGCTTAAAAGAGATAGGAAGTTGCTATATAAATTTAAATTTGTGTTTTTATTCATGTACCCTCCACACAGTTAACTTTGAATTAACCTTCAATACACATATTGAAATACATTTCAACAATTTTCAGATCCTGCTTTTAAAAGTATATATTTTTACTGATTGTTTTAGAATTTCATACAACGATCACCTCAGATACTGCCCATATCTCCCCTTGCCTTACTACTCCCCCATGGCTTTATGTTATTATTTGCCTTTTTGTTAAAGGACTGAGTCTAATCTGTGTTCCCCAGATGCTGTTGGGTATGGGTCTATCCTGTGGTGGCTGGTACACCTGCCAGGCCTCACATCAGTAAAGAAAGCTGACTCTCTCTTTCCCAGCAGCTAACAACTTTTAATGATCCTCAATTAGGGCTAGAGTTTCTTGCCTACCTCCCCCATCTATGCAGGGTTTTTGTCTGACTTGTGCTAACACAGGTCTCATGGATGCTGTCACAAGCACCATGAGTTCATATGTACAACTACCCTGTGGTTTTGGGACAACATGTTTTCCTTGTATTTAGCTACCACCTCTGGTTCATATAATCTTTCCAGCCTGTTCTGTAATGATCCCTGAATCTTGGGAGGAGAAGATGGGATATAGGTATCTTACTTAGGGCTGAGAATTAGATAGTCTCTTGTTCTCTGCAATTGTGGGTGACTGTGTTAATTTCCATCTGTATTAGTTACTTTTCTGTTGCTGTGATAGAAACACCATGACCAAAGGAACATATAAAAGGAACAATTTATTTAGCTTACAGTCTCAAAGGGTCAAGAGTCCATCATGGCAGGGAGGCATGGAGGCAGGGGTGGCTGGAGTAGGAGCAGAATGTAAGCTCTCACATCTTCAAGGAAGCACAGGACGCAGAGAGTGATATGGCCCACCCCCAGTGACGTGCTTCCTTCAGCATGGCCACAGTTTCTAAGACCTTCCAAAACAGTGCCACCACCTGGGGACAAAGTGTCCAAATACTTGGAGCCTATGGGAGACATTCTTATTTAAACCACCACACCATCTGCTACAAAAAGCTTTTCTGATGATAGCTGAGAGATGCACTGATTTATGGGTGTAACAATAAGTCATTAGGAGTCCATTTAATGCTATGACTATTCAGCAGAATGGGAGTAGAAGGTTCTCCCCTAAGGCCCATGACCTGTCTAGTCACATATTCTTGACCCTGATTAACAGTTTTAAAATCTTTCTATTTCATGAATATTTAGTTGGTAGGAGGGAGATATTATCTAAACTCTGAAGTGATTATTCCAACATATAGCTTACGATCTGTGGGGACAAACAGAATCATGAACATTGTCATATCTGGCCACTGCCCTCTTTCACCCCTTGCTCCAAGTGAGTCACATTGATTTTCTTCCTTGTTGTGTTTTCTTTTCCTTGAATTGTCAACAGACAACTTCTGATTCATCACAGCACGTCTTATTTTAGAATGCTCTGGAACATTAATATAACCCAGGATAAAGCCGAATTTTAACAATTATAATCAATCATGCAATTCAGTAGCTACACACAGTGGAATCAATTTTACTCTCCAAAAGTGTATATTGTATAAAGAAATTGTTGGACTATTTTTTTATACATATTTGAAGGTGTAGCCATGTTCTTAACATACTACATCTCCTAAATATCAACCATACGTGTGCACAGTCATATACAGGTTGTACTTCATATTTCTATTTTTAAACCTCTAATCCTCATCTCATTCATGTGTAAAATAAACTGCTATTGTATACACCATGAGATCCATGTGGGATATGTATGCTATTATTTTAGGCAAAGGTTTCCACAGAATCTTACTGATGGTACAAAGGCCTTTTACTGTCTTTATTCTGAAATAGTCACTGTATTACTCTAGGACGTAGCCCATAAGTTAAAGATTATCAGGAAAACAAAGCCGAATAAGATGCACGTCTATGTTTAGAAAATTTCAGTGGAATAGGGGTTATCCTGATTATGTATTCTTGCAAAACAAATAGTTCTTTGGTTGACCAAACAACCACGTTTTTTTTTCTGAAATTGTGGAGACTTCTATAACATAAGTGTATTTTATTTTAAAATGAAATTAATATGTCATGTTTTTCCTGTAAGCACACTTCATGGCAAGAGAGGCAAAGAGGTGTTGTTGAAGAATAAAATAAAGAAAACTGTGGCCTTGGTACAGATGCCAGGTATCTTAATTACTCTTCTGTTGTTGTGATAAAATACCATGACCAAAGAAACTTATAAAAGGGAGAGTTTGAATTTACGGTTCCAGAGGAATTAGAGTCTGTCACGGCAGGGAGGTACCGTGGCAGGAGGTGGCTGGAACAGGAGCAGAAAGCAGACTCACATCTTCAAGCAGGCCAGGAAGCAGAGAGTGACTAGTGATGACAAGGCTTAAGAACTCTGTAAGGACACCCCCAGTGACCTGCTTCCTCCAGCATGGACCCTCCTTCTGAAGTCCCAAAACAGTGCCACCAACTGAGGACAAAGTGTCCAAATACTTGGAGCATATGGGGAACATTTTCATTCAAGCCACCACATCAGGTAAGGGGCTGAGCTCACAAAACTTTCTATTTTCCTGTCTTGCTTGTTTCCTTAACTTTTAGGAGTTTAATTTTGTTATCAGTTATACATATTCCAATATCACAGGTCAGTATACAATACAAATATAAGTTTAGAGCATAAAAATATAAAATAAAACTAGTCAATTTATCTTGGACTGTATCTCTTACACTATTGTAGTTGAATCTTTTAATGAGGTTTAAGTATCCTGAGATACTAGTACTTTATAATACTTGGTTTAGAAATTAGTTTGATGAGTTTATAGCATTTACTTATTTTATCTAGTAAACTTTTAAAAATATTTAAATTTTTCTCATTATTCAAATTCCTCAGTTAACTTTATTGATCAAAAGTGGGAAATTTCCATTTTTTGCCAAATGAAAATAGAAACCAGTATTTTTCAAGTTTGCAACACAAACCAATATCAAGAACACAAAATGATTATGTTTGAATATCATCTTTATTAATACATCTTACCATAATTTTAAGCCTCAACTATTGTGTTACACATATTCATTATTAAACACCTTTCTATTTTGATTTTTTCTTGAAAAATTGTACTTTGTAGTTAGCAGGTTGTATCTGTGTAATATTTCACCTTTGTGTAGTTGTTTTGTTAGTGTGAGATGGACAAAGTATATCCATTTGGCCTAGGAAAAAGTGAACAAGAAACCATGTTCTTAAGTTTGTCATTTCTGTAAGCTACTCATTTAAAGGTGCATGCTCTTGAAAAGTTTCTTAAACTTTCTGTGCCCTCTCTGGTAAATAGTAATGATTATAGTATACATTTTCATACATTGATATGAATATTTAATAATTTAATGAATATTTAATGTTTAAAGCAAGTCAAACAAAACAGTGGCCACATAAACATTACCTTTATTTCTACCAATATTCCTAGTATAAAGAAATTGTTTTGAAGTGCACAAATACCTTTTTGCTATGCCTCTGCCTATTTATCAAACTCAGAATCCTAATGAGATTTTTCCTAACTGAGAATTACATACTTTGCCTTCAGTCAAGTGAGAATGTTATGATGGAATTACAGATTCTTATCCTATGGCTAAAAATGCCACTCATTTATTCCAAAAACATTTATTTAGGACCTATTAAGTGTCATTTGCTCGCATTAAATTTCCCTTCTATCTTCAGTAAAGACTTTAGAATCAGTCATCATCTAAATTCATTCTCCCACTTTGAGACATGATGTCACTCTATAGTCTACATTTTGTCTTCACTGTGACCAAATACCTGACAGGAAACCACCTAGGGGAAGATGGGTTTATTTTAGCCCATCTGATGGCTAGGGCTCTGCACTTGGTTTGGGAACTAGCTGCTGGTCACGTGGAAGTAGCAGATGGGGAACAAGAGAGGGATTAAAACCAAACTCTGGCTAGGCTGTAATCCCTAAACCCACCCCTAGTGATGGGCTTCTGCTACCCAGGCCTCAGTTCTTAAAGTTTC